CTCGGCTGCGCCAGAAGGCCACTTAACCTCGCCGTTATCTTCAGGCACGTGATTATCTCTGTATGAGTCAGTGCAGCCAGCTACAGGCATCCAGCTAAGCGTGTGCTTAAGTGTTTTAAAGTGCAGGAGCCTTCATTTAACAAGGAATTTGCAGCAAGAAATTCTGAAATGCTTCGGGCATTTAACCGTAGCTGAAAAAGAAGGGTACGGTTGCAGAGCTCTTCGCTTGCGATATGTTTCTCGGGAAATCGTCTGACAGAAGCCGTCATGTGATGGCTGTGTTTGATCTCATGCTCAAGCCAGGAGAAGAAAACCCCGAAGTCAAAGCTGGGATCGTGCGCAGTCACCCCAGGCTCGGTGCGGTCGCTCCCTGCAGACGCGCGGTGCTGTCGGCGATGACCCTGGGTGTTTCGCCTGGCTTCCAGCTGCCGCTCCGAGAGGACGCGTCTCCCAGGGGTCCGTGTCGCATCTGCCAGCCCCGCGTGGATGCCTCGGGTGCTTGAGGACCTCTCCGACAGCACCACGCGCCTAGACGCCATCCCTGCTAATCCTTTGTGTCGCTGGGCAGGCCAGCCGACAGTGCCACCTTGGTTTCCTCTGCTGTAAAGCGAGGATAATGCGACTTATTTCCTACCAGGTATTGCAAATTAGATCCTCTCCGCAGAGTGATTTTCCTGTTGAAGCATAGGCTAGGGGTTTAATATTGTTAGCATTAAGTGTTCCTGCCTGTCGTTTAGCTACAATCTTGTAGCAACTACGCCATTCTTGTGGCTTGATTTCTTAATAATTCAAGAATTCTTGATTGCGGGCGCTAACTTGTCAGGTACGAGGTTACTTTTGAGAGGGGCTGTTTATTGAGGTGCTGCGTTGCTCTCGGGGTGTTTGCGGCGTGCCTGATTCCTGTGAATCGGACGTGCGGTGCTTTGCGCATTGTGCAGTTACCGTGAGGCAGTTCCTGAAAGACCGATCCATTTATGCAAGTTAAATTACGATTTGCCGTTAAGGATGTAACCAGATGTAATGCACCTTTCTACAGCAGCATGGAAAGGAGCTCGGGGGCTCCTGCTCCTTCGGGGCTTGCCATTCATTTTCTCTGTATCAGAGGAGACTTCAAATATCACTTCA